ACACACACACACACACAGACACACACACACACACACATAGGCTAAAGCGACTTCCTGCATATCCTTATATGGGCAAATGTCTGAAAACTAGGGTTATGTTGTTTTCATGATGAATCAGGCAGGTCGATGGGGAGTTCAATGTCTTTAATAACGGTGGGACAGTCCAGTGTCAGCGGTTAGTTCAATGTCTTTAATAACGGTGGGACAGTCCAGTGTCAGTGGTTAGTTCAATGTCTTTAATAACGGTGGGACAGTCCAGTGTCAGCGGTTAGTTCAATGTCTTTAATAACCGTGGGACAGTCCAGTGTCAGTGGTTAGTTCAATGTCTTTAATAACGGTGGGACAGTCCAGTGTCAGTGGTTAGTTCAATGTCTTTAATAACGGTGGGACAGTCCAGTGTCAGCGGTTAGTTCAATGTCTTTAATAACGGTGGGACAGTCCAGTGTCAGCGGTTAGTTCAATGTCTTTAATAACCGTGGGACAGTCCAGTGTCAGCGGTTAGTTCAATGTCTTTAATAACGGTGGGAAAATCTAGCGTCTTATAAAAGAAACAAAAGTCTGATAAATTGACAAAAAAATAATTTATTGGTGTTAAAATGACACGATGAGCACTTTCAGACTGTCGAGGTTTGGAACAACACGACGTATTCAATAAGCCTTCAACATTTGATTGATTTAAAGATTGATGGATGTCTTTGGTGATTGATTGGTGGATCAGCAGTTTCATTTGTGCGTTCTCGTGCTTGTTTTAAGTGTAAAGTTTAAGATTAAGGGTTTCATTAAGGGGGGCACTAAGGGGTTTCCTACGACCTTAAGTATAAACATTATGGCTTTTAAAGATACAGTACTACCTTTCCTAATATCCTGATTTTAAATCACCTTCATTTTATGAAATGTGGAGTTTATCTTTGGAAGCTAAGGCTGGGAATAAAAGGTTTAAAAAGAGATTATTTAAAGGAGAGCTAAAGGATGTTCTTCTACAGTCTAACTAAATACTTTAATGTGAAAACATGTTCGTGACTCATTAAGTGTAAACTCAGTTTAATCCGACTTGAGAGCCTGGTTTTGTTTTTTCAGGCTCATAACCGTCTCCACACGAGATTATTACTGGCTGGAAGAACATTGATTATTCTAACACAAGTTTAAAAACAAACAGTGGAATACATGTTGTGGGTCTAAAGTTGACAATAAGAGAATAAACAAACATTCAGGGGGAAGAATCTGAATTTTTTAAAGAACAAAATAAAGAAAACATCGACAGATGTAGAGAAAAACTCTTAAACAGTCTTTGAGGTTGATGTTAACGAGAGAAAACAAAATCACAACAGAACACAATCAGCATCCTCTCTAATTAAAGCCGGACATTTACACAAAAAAATGAAAAAGGAGTCATTGTTGTCAAAATATAAGTGTTTTAAACTTTGAACCCTTTAAGGCCTAAACCATTAAAGGTCACTTATTATGTAAAATACACTTTACCATGTTCCTCTAACACTAACAGAGACTCTGTCCTCTCACTGGATTTTACTGCTCTGCTTTGTGACGGTTGACTCGGGACGTTTCTGGGCGGAGCTGGTGTGTTTCCTCCAGCCAATGAGAGTGCAGCAGGTGAGTTTAGGAGTGGATACAATTCAGTGATTGGACGCCATTCAAAGCGGTGAATATGACGGACGTGGACGTAGCAGCAAAGAAGAGAAAACATAATGAGAGTGAGGAGAAACACCAAGTGGATAAAGGTCGTTCTAAAACGAGGGTGAACCTTGTGTTGGACGTGGAGTTGATCTACTTCCTGTTGGACAGACACCGGCGGTTAGCTTGTGCTAGCTTGCCGTGTAGGAACAAGCAGTAAACGTAAACACTACGTCCTGCAGGGGGGGTGAGGAGGAGGGGCCACGTTTGAATGTTGTGTTGACAAACTCGACCTTTAAAGAGTTAATTCTAAAAGCTTTTTAAGTAAATGGATGATTGTGAGGTCATATTTTTATCATAGTTGTTCTTTAATCTCATATATTGCAGGTTTGGACATTTTTTCTTTCTTTGTGCTTCTTGATGACTTGATTTCTAAATAACTTTATTAACAACATTACAGATTAAAAACCGTGATGATGACGTGAGCCACAAACACCATCTCTTAATCTGCCTCATGTAGGCACTTCTTCCCTTCTCTCCGCTGCGTCGGTTAAAGGAATGCATAAGATATAAATAAAGGTCCTCGTACTTTTAGGAGTGTGTGTGTCGAGGTTAGCAGAATCCTTCGGCTTTAACCGTCAAGACGTCAAAGAGTCCGGGTCGCTGCTGAAGAACCTGAGGAACAAATCACACAGAGTTATGCTCCTGTTGTCCCGTTTGTTGCCTGCTAACAGGAAGTCGAAATCATTTGAACCGTTGCTTCCTGTTTATGCCGCCCTCCTCTCCAGCTCCGCCCCTCTTGTCCAAATATGGTCACTTCCTTAGACTTTCACGTTCACTACGTCTACTTCTTATATAAAGTTTATGGAGATCTTGAATGTGCAATAATGACTTTTATTTTGAAAATCTCACCTTCAGCGTTGTGAGGATTTCTCCAAACAGGTGTCGAGATTCTTCGGTGTCCGGCTCTTCAAAGTAATCCGCCACAGAGACCTCCACCACTATAGACCTGATGTTCTCACACACACCTGCAGACGC